CTATATATCTTAACATATATATAGGTATATTGCTTGTGATGATTTTCTGCAGCCAAGTTCTGAGGAGAAACCAGTCTGTGTATGCTTTAGCACTTTGATCTTTGTGGGTTGCAGTGATGAGCAATGTTCAAGTAGCAGTTCTGTTGGTTGGTTTATAAGCTGATGTTCAGCTTTCTCAAGCTTCTCATTCATGCTCTCACCCTGAATGGTAGTTCAGCTGAGTGTACTTGTATGTTTATTTATTCACTCCATCGCTATTTCTACACAGCTGTGTGCGTTCAACTCAAGTGACAACCGGATGCCTATCCTCGACTTCCTCGCACTATCCCTATCTACAGAGAAGTACGCCAACACAAAGATCTGTAACGGTCTTGCCGGCGAGACCACCCTGGCCCAAATGCCCCAATTAAAGGCCTGCTTTGAGGAATCCTACCGGCAATTGGACCGGATGATCGCCTTTACCGCAGCCGTAGAGGACAGGCTCAACGTGCATCTGCGCCACGGCACCATCCCCGACGCAGACCTGGTAGAGAAACTGGCTGTGTGCAAGATCAAATGCATTGACGTGGCCACACAGCGAGTGCACGCGCTGCGACAGGAGGTGGGCAGCTACGCGCTCATGTGGGATACGGGGTTTGAGCTGGTAGATATGCTGTTGACTTGGTAGGTAGATATGCGGTTGACTTGGTAGGTATATATGCTGTTGACTTGGTAGGTAGATATGCTGTTGATCTGGTAGGTAGATATGCTGTTGACTTGGTAGGTAGATATGCTGTTGACTTGGTAGTTGAAAATGCTGTTGACCTGGTAGGTATATATGCTGTTGACTTGGTAGGTAGATATGCTGTTGACTTGGGTAGGTAGATATGCTGTTGACTCGGTAAGCCAGATTCATTTGGGTTGGTTTGGGTTGGATTGCACATAGTTTATGTTAGCTGCGTTTGCTTTGCTTATGGTTTGTGTATGCGTGAGTGGTCGTGTGTGTAGGTAGCGATCGCTGGTTGTGAAGCATCAATTGGTGCATTGATGTGTTCACGTGCTCAGGGCAGCGTCTTCTGTTGTGCGCATAGTTTCAACGTATTTTGGGGTTTTCTCATAACTGCATATATTTACTCTAACTTTCATATGATTCATGTAGGTATATGTAGCTAGTTGTCTGTAAAATCAAGTACGATCATGTAGTTGATAAGAGTGTGCGTGTCTGGGTGGGCGGGTACTTTCGGGATGCGGGATACTGAATTCGGGCTTACTGGTTCGCTGTTGACACGGTGTTGACACGGTGTTGACACGTTGTTGACACGGTGTTGACACGTTGACGTTGTTGAATGTTGTTGACACGTTGTTGACACGTTGTTGGCACGTGTTGTCGCGTTGTGTTAACAGTATACACGGCACGTAGAAAGTCCAAAGAACTTTTAAATGAGCTCGATTACATTAGTGAACTGTACATCAACCGAGCGTATGGACTTAACACACTCTATCTTCATACCCAAAGCAAATGTGTTGGAGTTGTTAGCTGTATTCAGCACCAGGTGCTCATGCTTGAGGCCTATACCTATGTACAACAACACTGTACAACAACACACTCCATACACACCACCCGAGTATACCGACTGATCATATACTATCTTCTCCCTCCAACTAGCAAATTCGCTGAAGGCGATAGCCGTATCCTGCAACAGAAGCTCGCACGTGACCGTCTCAAGCGTGTGCAGAAGGGAGGTGTGGGTGGTATGGTGGGTGACGTGTTCTCGACAAACTCAGCCGAGGCAATTGCGGCGATATCTTTGGCTCGCAAACTGGCACCCGCAGGCAGGGACCTGCAGAAAATGGCTGCAGCCCTGGATGTTAATTGGAGGTAAGTGTATTTCCGGCCGGTTGAGTAGTATGTCAATGTATGCACATGTGCGCGACTGATAGGTGGAGTGGTATGCTACCTCCCAATGGGTGTGTTCACACCAACGAGGGAGGCCTTAGCCTTGGACGCCAATTGGCAGGACGTGTGTGCTCCACTGAGTGCTGTACGTCAGCAGTTGCCTATCGACAGGCATGTACGATGTGGCTGTGGCATATACATACGACTATGTAATCGGCCATATCTGTTTGCACGTGTGCATACACACAGATCGAGGTTTGTCCATACCAAATCTAGGATAGGGTATTGTTGACAAATATGTGACATGTGTCACTTCGATACCATTCAGGGGCTGTCCTTTATTGATCGATGGTTGTGCGACTATGTCCTACGTGGCACTCTCAATCGAGCATACCACCGTGTTCCTATCTCCGCCTTACCCCGACCACAATATGTGTGTGGTGATGTTTTGTGAGCTTCAAAATCGCAGCACTGAACCCGTGGCCGACTTCGAAACCAGTTTGATGTTTTAATCCACTGTGTACATCACCTGCAAACTATTTTTTTATTGTTTTTTTATTGTGCTGTTCTGATTATAGGGAGCTTTATGGCCTTTCCGATATGATCTGTGAACGTCACATTAACAGCACCCAGGGCTCGAAGTTTATCGAGCCTTGTGTGGAGCGTCTTAGAGCTTCATCGAACGAATACGACCACGACTGGAAAAGCAAACTGGGATCCAGTACTATCCCGTCAGCATCCAGTGCTCGAGCGTAGCTGATAAGAGTCAAGTATTGTACAGATAAATAATCAACCCGTATTGAAAGCTCATGTCGGTATGCAACAGGCATGTACGGTATGGGTTTACTTTTAAATTCTGGTCTGGTTGTTTGGGCTGGAGCGCTGTGTTCTGGACCACAGTGAGTGGAATGATCTCGATAGGCAGTGCGGTTGCTTATGTTCCGACTGGAAACAAGCAATGCAAAAGGAGTATGCCTAAGTTGAGATTAAGCTTTCAATTTAGTTTAGTGCTAGTTTACAACACCTAAAATAGGTCCAGAGTTGATTGTGGGCAGTTTCTCATGATTTCGAGCTGCGTGTGGAACATTTTTTTACCGTAGTGTGCTACATTATCATTTGAGATGATTGCACCAAGCATATCTGCAGAAACTGCAAAAGTACATAAGCCTGAACAAAGTCGACACCTGGGATGTCACGAAACAGTCTTCTCTGGATCAAGGACATGATTGCTATGTTTGCTGATAGTCATCAACTTACTACACGTTATGGTGTTATTCCTGTTTGAATGGGGTAACCATTTCAATTATCCATTCAAAAAGGTGCTATGCGGACATCGATTTGAAATACCCGTGTGCGCGGTTTATCATATAGTACCGCAGCGAACAATCTGAATTCGTATTTCGTACAAGTGATTTTGAGAACTGTTGTACACATAAATCGCTTGAACTCGTGTAATTATAATTAGACAAGGTGATGTTTTATTTGAATTGGTTTCTAACTCTCACGCCGATGCGCGATCTCTTCCTCGCGGTAGTTTGTAGCATTTCACGCATATTTATTTATAAACCACGAATCTCCATCTTCTCGTTGTTAGTGATTCCGCGGGCGTCCTCGCCCGTGAGTGTCGCCTTCATCACACCGTATAAGTGTATCATCGTTGACGACGTTGTGTCCCAATACTCTGCGAAATCAGCCGTTACTTTCAATAGACCAATATCTGGTGTATCCAACCCATCGCTGAACCAGGCTTTCATTGAAGGGCTCCACAGTTCCTCCATCTTTGCTCTCTCTTCGACCAGCTCGATACGTCCTGAAACGCTTACAAACAAGTTGCTTCCGGGGTTGCTGTAGGCCAAGTTAACGTGCGAATCTCGTTGGATATCCTTGATCTTACCGGAGCTATCGCTTGTGAAGAACCACAGCACTCCATCGTCGTCTACTTTGGACGTCCACATGGGCCGTGATGCCATATGTCCGTCTATAGTTTGTGTGGTTAACATTGCAATGTCAACACCATTCAGTTTTTCTTTCAGCTTTAAAGCGGCTTCAGCGTGCGACATATTGAATATATTTTGGGTAAATCTGGTTTATAATATTTGTAGATTTATGTCTGAATGGACTGAGGGAAGCGAATACGTAACTATATATACCCTAAAATTTTGGATAAAAGATTTTTCTGAAAGCTGAAGTCGCCTGAAGCCGTCTGTAGCCTAAACTCTGAAGTATCGAAGGTCTGTATGTATGTAGTCTGAAACTGTGGAATCTGAAGCAGTGGTGATTGATGAAGGTATGTGTGACGACAAGTCATTGAAGCGACTACGAGTCTATGACAGATGTCAGTAATGACAGTTGGGTCACGAGTGTTGACAATGTGAATGTAAACAAAACACTGTTTCAGATTTTTCTTCGACTATTTTGATTTTTCCTGAACTCTCTTGATAAGGTGGACAGTATTCATTGGCCATGCTGCTCACGACAATACTCCTGTTTTATTTCTCGTAATACCATTGGTCATACTGCTCACGACCTCACATACTTTTTAAACTTTTTTAGAATACAATACATGAAAACTTCGGTTACAAAAATAATGACCTTGTGATGAAATTTCTAATCGTTTTTCGGATTAGTCCGATCAGGCATTTTTTTTTTTGTAAAAGTTCTCTCTCTCTCGAGAGGGTCATGTTTGAAATGTTATCACTCATCACGCATTCAAGTGATGGTGTACACAACAGTGTTTGAGGTGTATACGAATGTGGCAGCTTTTAATAGTCTTGGGCCAGGTTGTTTCAGCTGGAAGCCGTGCTTATACACAAAATGAACATATACGGAAAATAAACCCTTCGTAGTACGTGCTTGCAACCGAGTGTACGTGTTCCAGCCTTTGAAGGATGCTTGTGATGTCAATATACTTGGTCGTTTTGTAATCTACAAACTGTATGATTTTCCTGCTGGATTTATCCGTGTCAATGAGATACTCACGTACTGTTGCGAATATGGTCAAGTACCATCTTTATACATCAACACAGAACTCAGGGTATATACGACCATATTTTAATTCGCATACACTGTATAAACAGCAACGGATGTACGTTTAAAGCACCAGTTGCATGTGAATGCAGTGTGCTCATGTTTTCGGGCCTAATAAAATTTCATTTTACATAAAAAAAAAGCAACATAGGGAAAGGCAACTAAAAGTACACACTAAGTGATGCGGAGCGTATGCAACTGTATAGAGAAAGGCAACTAAAAGTACTGGCGGCGGAGAAGTATTATAGGTCGTACTAAGTGGTGTGAAACGATGCGAAACGATGCGAAACGTGCGCAGAAGAGGAGCGATAGACCCCGTTGTTTTGTGCGAGGAAGACAAAGCGAAGAACAATAGTGCATTTGGGGGTGCTAAAAGGAGATGAGAAAAGGCTGGCTCTATTTAGCGAGGTAAAATGGGCAAAAAAAAGAGAAACGGCTCAGGAGGCAGAGGAACGGCAAGTCGCCAAAGAAGCACAGCTCAACAAAAAGGCTGAGAGAAAGCATCGGCTGGTAAGAGCCAGCTCAATACGTATCGATTGATCAGCTGTTTAGGACAGGCATGAATATCAAGAAGGCATTGAGTTCTAGCTTTTTAAGGATTGGAAATTCAAAACGATAAATGGTACCTTCAGCTGAACACCCAGAATTCCTGTTCCTGTGCAAATCTATATTCTGTAGGTGCTACCACAACACGGTTTGTATTGTTGTATATAACCTACCGGTGTATCGTTATAGGCCTTCATCGGTAAAAGATAAATTCAGCGAAAGTGCATCTGTTTCGAGTCATGAAGGTTATATGAAATGATCTGAGACATCGTTATCACGTGCAGCACCCCACTGCAGCTTCACTCTCTGATTCGCTCTTTTCTATATCAAACTTCATTTCCAGAAAAAAAAACGGCCGATTGTTGTGTGGCCCGCTATGATACCACCTCCCAGTTTTAATAATTGATGGCAACAGAAAACTCCATACTTAGCTCGGATTTAGTAGCAACCTCGTTCGTTTCAGAACCAATTGTACACCTTCTCCGCACCATCACAAGCCCCTTCCACTTCCACCAGTGTTGCTTCACCCCCTACCTCTGGCGCTGCAAACCCAAATGTCTGACCATCCCATGCCATCTCGAACCTCAACCGGTCCGTCTCCCAGATTTCCCGCAACTCCTCATTGACCACATCATGTAGGCCCAACTGGCATGTCATCCCTACGCAAACAGACCTCAGAGGTCTTAGCTCACGCGCCAGAGCAGTTGCTTGGCCCAGTGAATAGTGGGAACCCACGGGAAGGCGTGAGAGGGCGTCGATGACTAGCAGGTCTATTCTGGGCAGTGCCTTGAGAAATACCAGAGATTCTGGTGGTAGATCGTGAAGGTCGGACAGATACGCGATTACCGCCCGTGTGTTGGGTTTGAGGTTCTGCGTCCCGCTTTCAGATAGATGTGTACCGCTTTGCTGCGCGTCCTGACCGCACCTAGAGGTATCGCCCGTACAGATGGTACAGCCTACATCACCACTCGTGTTGCCTCTATTACTACCACAACTATCAGCCTTACAACAGGTGCTATCCCTGTCCTCACCTGGAAAGTTATCCGACACCAAGGGATCCTCCACATCCGGCACGATCCCATCATTCTCCAGGCGGATCACGAACCCCATACACACGTACTCGCCCCCATGGAACATGGGGATGGGTGTGAACTCAAGACCTGCATCTCCCACAGGGTAGAACGGCTTGAAGTAGCTATCCTCATCGTACACCTTCCACTGCAATGCTGCCACCCTTCTGGGGATATCTTTCAATTTTGGTTCCTCATCGGAGTCTCCGTCGTCGCCCGCAGATTTGCTTCTTCCATCATCTGTCGATTTAGTGCGTGTTGTACCCACATCGCCCATATCGGGGTTCGATACCTCACTATCAACCCCCGAAAGAAGACTTATCTTCCCATTCACCTGTGCAGAATGTGCCAACTTGTCACCTGTCAGAGCGCTATCTTTGCCAGGCGATTCAGGGTCATCCCCAGTACTACATTGCGCATCAGAGACGGGTTGTTTTTCGACTGAGCCAACTATGCCGCCTGGGATATTACTATTACTCGTACTAATGTATTTGTCAGTACTGTCGCTCCTATCTACCACGTTTGCAGCTGGCACGGCTGCATCAGGGCCCCCCAACGTACGTGTCGCATAGTTCGTTTCAACTTGCTCCCCGTCATCCTGGGATATATCTACCCAGTCCGTTTCCCGGGATTTACAATCACTAGCCATGCCTACGTTATCAGCATCACTACCCACAGGCTTGTTGCCGTGGGAACAAGCGCTGCCGTCTTTACTTGCCGGGATTGATTCCTGGTGTTTGTCACGGTGGGCATGATGCTTATTCGAGTGTCGGTGGTGTACATGTGTACTACTACTGTGTCTGTGCGTACACAAAGTATGCGAGGAGAGGTGAGTATGCGTACTCCTCCATCTGCCTTTTACCTCAGCCGTAGCATCTAATTCAGCTGCAGCCCTGGCCTTGGCTAGTCGTTTCTGTTTTCTCGTCTGTTTTCGCTCACTTCGTTCTTCCTCTAGGTTCGGCATAAGATACGGGAACACCCCCTCACACACCTTCATTGTGCTCTCATTCAGATACACAGGCGTGATATGTGGCTCACTCCACCGCATCTCGCCATCCACCTCACCCAGCTTTTTAGCCCCGATCTGGATATCCCGAACTTCGTCTAGGCCAAAGATGGCGTCCGCATGCCCGTGGGTAAGAACTATGGCGTGTATCGTCTCCACCCCCATGCGCGGAAAATGCTGCAGACACTGCTCCCGGATGGTCTTTCCGCAGTCGATTAGTATCTCCTTCCCTTTATATCGGACCAGAGCGCACACGTTGCCCCGTCTATTTTTAGATCGCGGGTTGCGTAGGCCGTCTTCACACACATTGCACCCATCTTTCCGAGTACTCACATTGTACATGTTTTCACGCGGTCGTATAATACACGTGGTTTTAGGTAGACCCGTACTGACCCCTGAGCCAAGTATAACAAACTCACTTCGGTGTTCACGTTTCTTACTACTTTCCCCCATCACATGCTTGATCGTTCCTTTGTATTCGTTATCCTTTTGTAGTTTGAAACTGGCCTTCTCTGTGCTTCCTTCTATATTTTGATCACCTATCATACTATCGTCATGGGTAGTAGAAGTTACTGTGTTATCGGGTGCGGAAGTAGAAGAAGCACTATTTGAATTTTTCGCATCTTCTCCGCTCACCATGTTCTGAAGCATTGGTTGGGAAATATCTTTCAGATTAAGGTTGGAGGCATTATCCGTTATCACTTCCATCTCGTACTAATTATGTTTATATTATCTCTCAATGTCAGGCATGAATACTCAAATGTGAGGGACTCCACATACATAGTCTAACAATGTTTATATACACCAACGGAGAGTTCCGATGTGATATAATACGGAAATATATGTAGCTATAGAATCTTTACAGGTCGAACTCTAACCATTAGACACATACAGACCAGAGGTGAGAATAAGTGATACATCTGCCGTAAGAATAGTTGGGGTAGTGTATGGACAGTGTGTCGGTGTAAGAACTGGAGCAATTATAGTACTGTTATATATGTCTTTGTTTTGATATATTTAGTTACGAGCTGCTGACAGCTCCTGACTGAGTCAGTTTTCGTCAATGTTTAAATGGGTCTCAAAAATGCCAGGGTGATTGAACGTAAACGCGATTATTTTTTTCAGTTTATGAATGGTTTAAAGTTTATATGGGCTGTGAAACCTGCACCTAATCAATAGCAGCTGGTTCACGTGTTTAACGTGTATTATTTGTTCTTAGGTCTCTTAATTTTGGGGGTAGTAAACGATGTGGAAAACTGATGTCGAATGTGTGTATTTGTATTTACAAAATACAATGTGCGTATATGCAGCGTATGCTAATGCTTTATATATGTGTACACATGTATATGTATTCATACATACAGCGTACACTAGTGCCATATATATATA